CAAATCGTTTCATGCGCATCACATGTATATACATTTGCGATAGAGTGTGAGATAAAAAAAATAAAAAACAAAAGGAAAAAATCAACCAACTCAATAAAGAATAAGAAACGTATAAAGTTGTCTTGCTGCAAAGGTAAAATATTATCATTAGCAAAAGCACGCAAATAGTGTTACATACACAATACCAAACCTAATATCATCTCGCACAAAATTTTCTCGATTTATTGGATTTTATTCATTTCGTCGTGGTGAGTAAATTCTTAGAAGGGTGTGGGTGTGGGTGCTGTGGGTGTGGGTGTGGATGTGTGAGGGTGGTGTGGGTGGGTGTGGGTATGGGTGGATGTGGGTGTGAGTGTGGGTGTGGGCGTGGATGGGTGTGGATGCCGAAAAGAGAAGTTCTTCATACACACCCGCACCCACCCACACCCCACACCCCAAAAATTCTGTGAAAATCCAAATGATCAAGAACACTGAAGTTTCTTATAAAATATGCTTAAACCACTCATGAAATCATGTTTTTGAAAGATTCTGGTGTAACTTTAGTCTTTTCCAGTGATACGACGAATATTATTCTTAGTTATGATTCGAGTAGGATGACTAGCGGGAAGCAACATCTCGAATAAGGTCAATGCTCGTTGGTAAGAGTCCAATGCCATCTGTCTCTTGTTTTGATTTTCATAACATATTCCAATGGTATATAAGGTATGACCTTTGTCGACATGACCAGATGGATACACTTTCTCGAGCATATTCAGTGCTTCTTGACAGTACTTCAAAGCTTCACTATACTTTCTTTGATGATTGAGAATAGAACCAATATTGCTCAAACTCATAGCAATGTGGACATGACCAGGTCGATAGAATTTCTTGCGCATTTTCAGTGCTCGTTGATGACAACCCAAGGCTTCATCGTATTTTCTTTGCTGCTCGAAAATCATGCCGATAGTATGGAGGCTCTTAGCAGTGTCGATTTGACTAGAATGATAGAATTGCTCGCGCATGTTCAGTGCTCGTCGACAGTATTCCAAAGCTTCATCGTACTTTTTTTTGATGACAGAGTGTATGACCAATGTTGTGGAGGCTTGAAGCGACATCGAGATGGCCAGATGGAAAGAATTTCTCGCGAAGTCTTAGTGCTCGTTGATGGTAATCTAAAGCTTCGTCATATCTTTCTTGCGAATCAAGAAGAAGCCCAATGTAGTTAAGGCTTTGAGCAACTGCATCATAGTCAGATGGACAGAATTCTTCCCGAATTTTTAGTACTCGTTGATGGAAATTGAGAACTTCATCGTACTTTCCTTGTCGATAGAAAATACCGCCAATATTATTCATAACCTGAGCTGAATCTTTAATTCGTACTGGTGTTGCACTTGTCGTTCGTTGATATGCTCGATCATAATATATTGTAGCTTGTTCCCATTGACCCTTATAATCAAGAGCTTGACCAATATTGAATTCAATCCAAGCGATATCTTCTCCATTAGGCTCTTTCAATAATTCTTGGAAATAATTCTGTGATTGATCATATTGACCTAGATTACACATCAATCGTCCAAATACAATGGCAACACTTTTTTCTTCTGTTTCTTTTTGTGTTAAATCGATATAATCTTTGGTGATTTTTTCTCCTTCGTTTGATAAAGACATATTGATCACTTGTATTGATCCTTGTTTTTCGATGGCATCTAATCGAAATGCTGCATTAAGATCAAAAAGGACTTCATCTTCATTAGGATAATCACTAAATTGAGCAATATCAGCATAGATCACACTTTTACCAATGTCTTGAACATGACATTGGATCTGAAAAAGAACACTAATAACATCAGCTCTTTTAGTTGATTTCATTGCAAAATTAATAGCTTGTTGTCGAAGTCGACTAGTTGATAAATATCCATTAGTTGAAATGATGTTTCCTTGATTTTCTTTCAGTTTTTCAAATTCTTTTTCATCTAATGTCGTTCCTCGATAAACAGTTAAGATAGTTTTATTTGATGAAAAAATCTTTTGATATTCATGAGCAAGATTTTGTGAAAGATCACCGATGAAAAATCGAAATGTAAATAATTGATCAAGATCTTCACTTCTCAACGCTTTGTTAATCATTCTGTAGAGAAATGAATCTTTTGAAAACCAACGAATAGCATCTTCTGGACGATATTCTCGTTCAAATTCATCAATTAACCTTTGGTTCTTTGATATTTCCACGATAATAATATCGACAAACGTCAATCATTTGTTTTTTTGCTTGTTGATGTCATGGAAGACGAGTCGTGACATAATGAAAGAGTTGAAACCACAGAAATTCAGCTGATTGTTTTGAGAGATCTTTTGTTGATTGTTGATGATGATCGAAAATACTGAATGTTTGTAGCTGTTTATTGAAGAGATCGATTTGTTGTCGAATGGATGAGCATAAGTCATTGAGATAAACATAAATACCTATGATTTTAGAATATTCATTGATAAGATGTTGATGTTTATCTTTGTTCATACAAAAGATGAAGATAGAATCAACTTGAGATAGATGAGAAATAAGAGGAAGAAATTGTGATGCTTTTGATCCTGATGTAATTAAGAAGATCTTTTCTTTCTTGATGGATTGAACAAATGTCACACATAGCTTGAGATCAGTGTAAAAGATGACAAAATCATTGATAGAACGAAGTTCTTGTTTAGTTTGTTCTGTATCTTCATGTGAACCAATATTTGGATCAAACCATAGAAGTGTTGTACTTTCTTTATTCTCATCATCATTTGTTCTAAGAAGTAAGTTATTCGGAGAAGCAGCAGTATTCATCTTACTAATAGATTTATTTGTCTGTGCCATGATGCCAACGATGAAGTTCGATAACGATCAAGTAGTGTCAGAGAAAAAAGACCAACCTTTAGTGTCCGACATGAATTGTGCAAATGAATGATTTTGCCTTAATATACATAGAACAACAAGAGTTACGATTTTTTCTTCAATTTCTTCTCATTCGAATTTAATGTTTGCCTTTCTGAAGCGCATACTCTTATTGTGTTTGTTGTTTGATCTGTTGTTTCAATGTTAGCAATCATCTATTTCTTTTGTAGAATGATCTTTAGAACATTTCATATTATTTTTTATTTTTTAGGATTTCATTGATGTTATTAACAAACCATGAAAACATCGTTAGGAGATCGAGTTTATTTTTAGTCGTTCTATGATGTGTAAACACTGTCGAAAAGTAAGCATGAATCTTTGGCAAAAGAAATATTCTTCGACTATAAAAGAATAAATTGTTATTCTCATGGACTCACTGTAATGAAAATGCAAAAGAAAAAGGAGTCTATACACAAATAATCGATTTACTTCCTAACAAATAACTATGGTGAAAACGAAATATCCAACTATATTGAGGATGATGGTGAGGTGTGAGAGTGAGAATGAGAATGGAAATAAGAAATGTATTCAAGTCAACAACTACACCTATCCTACTGTTGGATCCTATTACAAAATTCCAGTATCCGATTATTGGAACTTGAATATTCATTTGACGACTCCTATTCTTGATAGACGATTCTTTTGCTCAAACACTGAATCTCTTCTCATATACATGTTTCACCGATTTTTTTTCAGGCAATTTCTTAGAACTACAGTATGCATTCGCCAAATGTTGATAGAATTTTAGTAATTATAATCGTAAAAACAACTTCAACTGCTGTTCATTCGGTAATATGAGATGAAAAAATGATCTCTTTATGTTCAGAATCGAATAATAGAACATTTCGGTGTGGGTATGGATTTAGGTGTAATAGATGGAAAGAGCAACACCCGTACTCACACCCACACCCCACACCCACACCCTGAAATATCATGTTTTGATCTTAATGATTTTTTTTTTGTTTTCAATGGACAGAACAAAATGCATCATTCCTACAAACAGGATGAATCATTTCATAGAATGAGTTATTTCAAAATATTTGATGTACATCTTTTATTATGAATGATCAGAAAATATCCTTCGTATTTTGATTTATCGAACAGAACTAAATATAATGAGAAAATAACTCAATTCATTAGTTTTTTTTCCATTTAGAAAAAAACTTATTTGAGACATTTCAAAATGATCTTTTTTATTTGTCTTTTGATTTTATTTCTATTTAATCATAGGAAAGTATAGTTTTCAGTTGAGATAAATAAACAATCAACAAACTTTCTTACATTTTATTTATATTAATATCTGTAATGTGAATAATCACACGTATTTTTTTTTTGTTTGCCTACTTCTCTAAATTGATAGTTACCATGAGTAATGAACGAAAGTAAAATCTTCGTCATCAGTGAGAAAAAAAACTAAATTTACTTAGAAAACCTTCATGTTGATTAACATAGCATCTGAAGGTAATCAGAAAATTTCAATTGCTTTTTTAGGGTGTGTATCAGTATTAAATCATTTTATAAGATTTCTTGTTTTATTTTGTCTTATATTGAATACAGCTAAGTTAACTTGAGTCTTACGTGAATTGAGAAATTCATATGAGATTTATATGTAGAAATATGAAAAAAACAGTTAAGAGTGTGGGTGTAGTTCTTTTGTTATTCTCACACTTACCCATACTCACTCCTCGCGAAATCATTCGCTGGAAATCTTATGGTTTTCTTGGCTCACCACTTATGGAAATGTGCCGTTACACCTAAATATCTTTTTTTAATTATAATCAATAACTCATACGATAAACTGAAATCTACGCTTTCCCAGTGCATTGATTGTTGAAAACAGAGTGAACTAAACTTGTATAGAATAAGAAATACATAGGGAAAAAAATCAGTTGATGTGCACTGTATATTGTTCAGTTTTTGTGATTTGTTATTTGTTATTTTTTTTTTCATTTTCATGATTCGGTTTCACTGTTTTTTTTAAGTTTTCAAATTTATTTTTGTTTAAAATTACAAAAGGAAGAATCATTCACTTGACATAGAAAAAAAAATATCCCATTATACAGCAAAAAATCTGAATAAGTGTCATTTGTTGTGACAAAGTACAGCAAACTGAGAATAGATATATGAACGTCTGAAGATATGTGTCGGAATATTATTTCCTGTTAGTACTCTACTTATCTTCATTACTAGGGAAATAACCCTCTTATTGATGCATGTTAACGAAAAGTATTTTTATCTCAGAAAAGATTATCTTTGACTTGTTTCTTATCTATATCTTATATAAAATAAATTAGAAGCTTTTCAATTTATTCATTACTCATGATTTTTTTTTATAGATGTCGATGGCGAGAAATACATCTGGAAGTGATAGGACGAACGAAACCACTTTATTTCGATAGCATATTTACCAATACATTAACTAAAAGTGACGTTCGTTCTGTTCTGTGCACAAGGGTAAATAATATTTGCCACGTGTTCTTTCATGTAATTGTTTGTTTATTTTCTTCCAGGTAAGAGAAACATATTCTATACATCAATGATCGTTGCAGTAACTTGATAATGAATATGTTCATTTCGCATGTTCTAATTAGTTTTTTTTTAGTTTTGTTTACTTAGGGAAATTCAGAAGTAGTGGCAGAAGTGCCTCAATTTCACATAGAAAGCTTTAACATTCTCTTTATATCTATTGATAGAAAAAAAATCCTCTATTTTTCGACGATGTTTCATCATACTTTAACTAATGTCATGGTAATAACACCCACACCCAAAGAAATATTTCTTATAGCATTTGACGATTCTACTAATGCTCGTTTGAAAACACAAATGAATATTTTTTGAATAACTTATGACAGATGTAAAATACAGAAGTACAATTTCTGAAGTTGAAAAGAAGAAATGAATATGTATTAAATCGCATGTTATATCTTTTCCTAATGTAATTTCTTCAACTTTTTATTCAATTTAATTGTTTCACAATTCTTAGAAAAACAACTTGAACTTTCGACTAGAATATCTAGAACTGTTACATGATTAGATTTTAGCCTCTGATATTTATCATTTTTTGTACATCTTTAATTAGTGATTTGATTTTGAAGAGACTGACCATAATCTTTCAAAAACTAGTTAGGAACTTCTGTATTATCAGAACGTTGAAGTTTTTTATGTGACATTGAGGTATATCTACCACTGCTTTTGGATTACTCTAACTATACTCATAGCTAATAACTTTACACAATCTTCTTCGATTTCTACCGTCCTTGAACATTATTTAAAGTTAACAACCACTAAATTATTTGTTTTGAGCCTATGGTATTCAAGAAATATCTTTTCATATCCGAGCTTGTTGTGTTGAGAGAAAGTATGACTCTAAAGGTGATGTTTTCCTACCTGCGTATGGGTAAGAAAATCAGAGTCTTCGAAATCGATTGGAAACACTAAGAGAAACTACTAATCTTTGAAGTCCTGTTGCACAAATCACCATCCGTAATTTAAACCAGGTCCTCTATGTTTGATACAGGCATATTACACATGAATTTCCCGCTCAGAACTGGAGCACAGGTAAAACAACACAACAGGGTTGTCCTCTATATTTTTGTTGTCGATACAATAATTTTCTTTGCAAAATGATGATGATACGAAGTGAATAAATTCTTTTGTCTTGTATAGTTTGAACACTAGTAGAATCGGTGATAGAGAGAGCTGTCAAGCAGTTCAAATAGCATTCAGCATATTTGCATTTGATATAACTCATTCAAATAATTTCTTCAAGCACTAAATGTAAAGGTCTATATGAAAAAAAAAATGGGAGCATGTCGTTGTTCATTTCTGATATTATTTGAACTAAATATAGGTAGAACAGTTCAAGATATTCGGTTGCTCCGATCGATTTATAGAGATCGAGTAGTCTCCTTTCTAACATTTTGTCAGCTCCCTTCACTCCACTTGGTCAACAAATCAAACATCGGAGCATTTGCTTCGTCTATATGTGTTCAACAATGACGAGCGCCTTAAAGAAGACATGATTGAGACTGGAAAAACTGTCAACAGAACACATAATATAGCCATTCATCTCATCACACTATGACATATCGAATATATGTTAAGGTTAGAAGCAGATATGCACCTGATCGAAACGATCTGATTTTTGTGAATTTAGTGTAATGAGTTGAGGTTCGAGTTTCGATTAGAGTTCAGCATTGAGATTGATGAATCAATTTCTTTTCACCTTAGATCTGTATCTGAGTGTCTTATTTTCTTTCTATATTTTGTTCTTGTCCATAATTATTACATATCGGTGACGAATCAGAAAATAGATAAAGAAGTGAAAATAGTAGAGGCAATTGCAACGGTAGATATGGTCGCTGAGAGACGGTAATACCTGAAATTTTCCAAGGGCTATCTGCGGATAGCACATACTATACCCTATTTCAATTCGATCGGGAGTTCTTAAGAATTTTAGGATTCAATGAAGATAATCTTTGCACAAGCCTATATTTTTTAGCAACGAGAAGTCTCTCGAATTACTCGGTAGCATATGCAATGTACGATGAATACTGATATTGACTTATTCATATATCGAGTGCTTCTTAATGATTTCTCATTGCTGAAAAATAGAGGTATATACAATAAGTATGGTTTTAGAGGTCGAGGAACAATTTTTCTCATCGGATAATGTAACGTGAGCCTTTTTCTTGCTTTCCTAGATGCTGGCGCTTGGCGAAAGCACGATGTGTTCTTTGTCAATGAGATTTCGTTTGAAATAAAAAAACCATAAAATTGAACAGTATTTCTAACTTGTTAGGAAGTATCTGTAGATTTTTAAGGATTATCTTGAAATAGTCTTTGGAACATTATAGAAATATCTAAACGCGACATATGTAACTTTACGTAAGTGTGAGCCTGCTCAGCTTTCTGGAGATGATTTCGCAAGATATTCAAAGACAGTTATTCTTGAAAATGAAGGTGCGATCATTTAGATTTCGTGAGTTTACAAAAGATTTTAAGTGACTTTAGCAGATACAAAGAATTTAAAACGATTTAATGAATCTTCGTAAAATTCCAGACGATATTAATAAGACTGCAGATTTCATGAAATTTCAACAAGGATAGGGATATGACAAACCGAAATCTTGCTTGTTCATAAATACCAAACAATTTTTGGAAGACATATGGTTAACTTGATTTTCGACAAGATATAGGCCTCTTATCTTTAGCAGATTATTTGCATTTTGAAAGCATTACAACTGGTAAGAGAATCATATTTTGTCTGACATACGATAGAAACTAGACTGGTAGGAAAAGACTTCGGGTATTCGACCAGACTAATTACTTCCATATACGCACGTCAACATTTCACAAAAGGTTTATAGAAGCACCAACAGCTAGTTCTCAAAAATGACACTGTCAATCCTGATATATTACCTAGAGATAACCTTATTTATAATACACTTCATGTTTTGACGGCCTTTTTTACTTATAGTATTCTTCTTTTTTTTTCTTATTCTTTCGTGTAAATTTATTGCAGACTTTTATTTGTAGAAGATCGTAATAAGGAAAAAGATGCATAGAAGTTGTAAATCTACAATTAAAACAATTACCACTATTGCACCATACATTAATTATTCAAAAGAGAGGAATCAGTGTCGGCATAAATCGTAAGTATTATTAGTATTTTTCACGCTGACTTGCCTTTATAAGATATATTGCATGTACTATTCTCCTTAAGTCGGTACTTAAGGTCAGTAATTAACTTCTTAGAGATTAATAGTATTGTTTTTACAGCAGTATATAGTATATTTAGTGAATTAAAATTGTATGGGAACTTTAGTTAATATTAATCGAGGGTGTGGATGTGCATGTGTGTGAATATGAGTTGTCTTTGCTCTCACATCTCACACACCTTAGTCTTTGGGAAGTTATGATGATCATCCTAAGATAATCTTGAAAAGTTGTAGGTGCAATGTTGAAGTAGATTCCAAAGAGTCTTGAGTAGCATGTTTGACCTAATGTCAATCGATTCCTGAAAGAAGACTGTTTGATCAGTTCAGTTCTCTGAAAAGGAACCGCTTGAACAACTCAACTCCTCCTATTCACGAGCGTTTCTAACAGCTTCTTTCATCAAATTCATCATATTCTTCTACTAAGATGCTGAGAATATGTATTCACTTTCCTGTGTCCTTTATTACTGCATACGCAACATTTCTCTCGTATAATGTTGAGGTCCTAGAGAATATTCGTGCAAACTTTTTTGTATTGTAGTATTCTGGCTGACCTATTATCTACAGCACATGAACAATGTATCAAGAATCCTATCGATCAGACTGAATCACCATCGAAGCACCTTGAAAATGTACCTGCGAGTGAAATTATTAGTACGATAGAACAATATGAGGGAACCAAAGATTTATTGACTAATTCGCCGGTGCAAATACAAAAAATAGGAAAAGCTAAATTTAACACTAATGTATACAGTTTGATTAGTACTTCTATCGTTTACCCTGATAAGTGGTGTCCTCCTCTATCATTCACTCGTTCACCTTATCATATTCTTTCAAATAAACAGAGTGAGCATGAAATAAAAGATTGGTATACATCAATATTTGGTAAATTCTTATCACCACCGACGAAACAACGATTATGGCAGCTAGAACCAGCAGAATGGTCTGCATTTTTAGTACCTTATGCAGCATATAACTATGTTGATTTAATGGGAAAATTTTTGTCTATATTTGCTTTAATTGATGATCAATTAGTTGAAATAGAAGCTTTAGAACAAAAACGAATAACATTAGAACATTTGTTTATATTTGCTGAAACATGGAAACTAGCATTTCAACGGCAAAATGGTCAGCAGATGAATAGCAAAAATTTAGCAAGAAGAATTCATGAACTTGCATTAAAAACGAATATTTCTGTATTAGACCCATGTTTTCAAGTTTGGTCTTCAATTGCTGATAATTATGTAAGATTTGGTGCAGATGAAACATGGTGTAATAGAATGTCCAATGCAATCAAAGAATGGATTGAATTAGGTATTAGAGAAGTAATAGGAAAACGACGTATGAAACAATCATCGTCTTTGACAGAATTACGAACACAAATTCCTGTTACTCTCACTTCATATGATCATCCATCTCTTCGTCAAGGAACAAAGGAAAAGACTGTGACTGTTGATATGAGTGGTATGTCTCTCTTAGAAGTTCTCTTACGACAGAGAATAGCTACTATTGGAATACCGATGATGTCACTCTTGTTAGAACAATCATGTGGTCTCAATTTATCATCAATCGATCCATTATTACGCCCTGCTATAAATATAGCAGCCATCATGCCTTCATTAGTCAATGAATTAGTTGGAATGGGAAGAGATTTAAGAGGAGAACCAAATTTTTCATTAATTTATCGGCAAATGTTTAATTGTTCATTGCAACAAAGTATTTATTTTACCTTAACTTTACATGATTTAGCTATGAAAACATTTGATCAAAATATCCAAAAGATATTGCAATCTTTGAAATCTCCTTCTTTACAACATCATGTCTCAATTTATATGCAATATCTACGACTACTAATTCGTGGTTTTGCCCAATGGCATCATTATTCAGATCGATTCAAAAATCTTATTGCATTAGATGAAACACATAAACAAATATTAATATTTTCGATTGCTGATGGTCTAAATCAACGTTATGATGCTCTTCAGGATGCATTATTACAATATCAATCGCATAAAGTAATACATGAAAGTCTTTACTAATATTTATTCTTGAAAATCAGAACAATACCTCAATTCTTATTACATCTGTTCAAATCGGAAGAAAGAACTTTGGGTTTTTTCGTTAAAAAAAAACTTGGAAACGAGCAAATATATTAAAATCGGAACATTTTTCAATAGCAAAGAATATTTTATAGTGCCTTTTTTTTATTTATCATATATTATTAACCGATATGTTTTATAGTATATCAGACGTTTATTCTCCTTTCTGACCGTATTCTTACTAACTTTTAGTGATCATTTTTATCATAATAAATCTTTTATAAAATATTAATAATATCTACTCTAGATAGTTATGGATATTTCATGGATAATGATCTAGTCTTATTAATAATGTTTTAAACATACTGCATTTCCTGTAGATAAATCGAAATATTATAGTTCTTTTTTCCTCGAAGATGAGGTCTTATATTTGGAAAAAGTTGCTACCCTTATGTGTCCGAATCAATCACGATGCAGATCAAAGGTTAATTTATAGAATTAGTTTTTTATGTTAAAAATTCATTTACTGTCGAAAGAAATCTCTAGAAGAGGATTAACTATCATAGATTTTATTTTTTCTCTATGAGAGTCAGTTGGAATTCTTTTTAAAAAATACTCTGTGATTTATTCTACAAGCGTTGTTTACAAAGTATTTTAATTGAAAATATTAGCCTTACCTTACATTACACACTAATTACTTTTCCCATATGAAAAGAATTGCAAGAAACATTAGATGAGAGTCCATCGAAAATGTTGAGGAAAAACTGAGATTAAATTCTTATATCTTCTAATCTGTTTATCATCAAAAGTGTTACCAGGAACTTATACTCTCATATATAATTTCGCTCGGCTCCAATTTTTATTGATTGAATTTCAATAAAAACTAATGAATTCGTATTGATTTTATTACTTAATGTATGGAGGATGTGGATGTGGGTGTTCTTATCATGCACACCCACGTCCACCACCACACTTTGGCATTAATATACTCTACAAATCTCAATCCGTTTCGACTTAGCTGGACTCACAGAGATTTTTGAGAGAAGAAAAAGCCTTAATCAAATTTCTCTACTCGGTGATAACTTTTATTCTCGATTAAACAGCTTCGTACTTCAACTTGATCTATTCACAGTTCCGCTCTAAAGCAACATTATATTTCTTTGCATCATAGTTTACAACATATGAAAGGATATCCCAAATGAAGGGTTAAGAATGAGAATTGGAATCACTGCCAGTCTTCCAATATGTCTGTTTCTTATTCGACCAGTCACAAAGGTTTCTAAGAAATCATTGTAAAGGTCTTCGAGGTTTTTTTCTTTGAAACTTTCTACAATTTTCTCAGAATTTTTCAGAAAGAATACAAATACTTATTTTAATAATGAATGGTTATCGATGAATGAAAGCATTTGGCTTAATATTATAACCAAGAATATAATCAAGAGATAATGCAAAACCTTTTGTAGAAGACTGGCATTTTGTACCATAATAGCATGCTGAACATACACAAATCGATAAAAGAAGACATTTAAGAACATCTTGAAAGCATAGGCCATTATTTTTGCGTATATTTTCTCCTTGACAATCATGTCATATGGTTTGATTGAATGTAAAACAATTGGAAAATCGATTAACATCCCATATGCACATGTATGTTTTATCATAGAAACACTTCAATTGCTCTTCTCGTTGACATAAATGAGGATAATATTTAACACAATGAAGTAAAGAATAATTTGAAAACGTATTACTCATTAATTCATTTATAGATGAACATCAATAATTCGATAATATTTTTGTTTAAATATGTTCTGATTCGATAAATTTCTCTCTTAATATAACTAAATAATAGGTTTGATTAGTTAATTCAATGAAAATAGCATGAAATAGATCAATCGTAAAAATGCTGATTGTATTTTGTGCAAATTTAATCTTTTTTTAATAATGTGTTTCGCTGATGACCGCTATTTTCCATTGAAGTAATAAAATGCACCCAAATAATTGACATCATATCAATATTTTCATCATTCAATGCAAAATTAATTCGATTTTTGAAATTCTCACTTCTCGTTCCGAAGAAATTTTTTGTACACAAACATGTAAAACTATTCAAACTTATACGATCATCATGAGGTATGCAGATTTCATTATTTTGACAAGGATTTGGGGGGATTCGACAAATTGAATTATTTAAGTAACATCTCGAACCGAACTTATGTAGTGGACAAACACAAATCGACGATCTAAGACAATATGAATCTAATGAACAAGAACAATTGTGTTGAATGTTACATTGTGGACCCGAATATCCTTCATCTCATTGACAAAAGTATGAGAAGTTTCTATTCATATATTGTACACATCGACCATGGTTGCCACAGAATAAAGAGCATAATTTTGATAATATTTTTGAATTTGGAATAAATAGTTGAGCAGCAATTCGATTAACTGGTAGAAATTGAAATGAAATAGAAAGATGCCAACTTCCCAAATACAGGTGTTTGCAAAAAAAACTTGCACAACTGCTTTTGCAAATATTATTTTTGATATAAGTATTTTGCAAATTTTATCATATTAGGATGCATTCACTTGTAAAAGCAAAATAAGACAAACATCTGTTTTTTCTTGGATGCAAGAAAAATAATTATAATCGAAATTTTAACATTTTTAGTCGTTTGAGATAAAAAATGTTGAATAATTAAGAGCTCTCCTCAAATCTTTTCTATAGGAACTGATAGTCTACAATGAGTGTGGATGTGGATGTGAGCATAGGTGTGGGTATGAGTGTGAGTACGGGTGCAGATATGGACGGGTTTGGATTGGAGGGAGGGTGACTGTGAACGTAGGCTAAGAGTGTGCATATCACTATGCATTGATGTTCTTTTTATTTGGGCAAAGCATACGATAGTAGGACAGAAGTGAATTACCAAATCATTCAAAACGTATCATTCACATGATCTACTAGAGTCTCCTGGGTCTATTTGGATTTCTTGGCGTTCACTATGAGAGACGTTGCTTGAATAGTCTTATAGCACCCACACCGAGAGAAATATGATGTGAGTCTTTTTGCCGCCAATCAGTCCAAACACTAGTTGAACGTGGAGACTCGGATAGACCATGGTTTAAAAATTTTGAATTATTTTGTAATTAATATTTTTTGAATTACTTTGTAATTCATTTGTGTCATTCAGTGTGTCTTACTGAATTTTTAATCTTTCACCTAGGAAACTATGATTAGACAGGTGTTTCTTTTCGAACTTCGAAGGCACATCATATTTCGATGACATATTGATTTCTGCATCAGAAACCAATACTCAGCATTCATCGTCTTTTGAAGTGTTTTCAATTACCTATTGTAGCACAGTGACTCGACGATCCCAAGAGATCTTTCATACTGATCGAGAAAATATTAACAATCAACTGAAAAACACAGCTATGTAATGCAACCATCATCAACTTTAACATGTTACCTCTGAAACACCTATTCATAGACGTCTCTTAGGTTTCAGATGTCTATGGTATCATGTTTTCCAGCTGAAATACTCGATCTAGCAATCAACATTTCCATAAAAGAATCATTGCTCACTATTCCTGTTTCACATATAATAACTGTTTGTTTGATAACCATTCAGATACTATATATGTTTTTGCATCAGAATCAATCGTCGTAGTGTATCTTCTAATTGAAATTTGTATCTACCATACTTAGAGATCACCTAAACCACACCACGAACGCAATCATTTGTATTTTCATTTACAGTGTATTCACCATCAAACAAATCATTACGATAACACATTTTATTATTACCGAGACTTGTACATTATATTAGCTGTAGCAGTCCCAATATTCATTGTCTATCTATTGTCGGTATCACGCGTTTTCGACCCAAGTCACAATCCCAAACTTAAATAATTGATGTACTCTCACTGGTTCTATTAGCGAATCATTTGATATGTCTAGCAATTCGTATTGTTCATGCTCTTCATAGGTTTTGAAATTTTCATTACTTCCGTTTCTTGAAATTTCTATTGATTCGAATATCTTTCTCATACTGAAATTTCACCATCCTCAAATTCTAGAATTTTAGAATAGAGCCACTGCTGTAATTTCGAAATGTATTTCTTCATCATAGTTATTACTAATCAATGATTCAATACTTTTTTCTCTTTCTCTCTTTATCCTATGTTTATATATAATATATGGTATCGAAAGTCAAATAAATACAGATAAATAAATAAATAAATAAATATATATGTTGAATAAATAAGTGTTGTGTTTTTTCCTCTAAAGATAAGTATTTGTATAATATGGCTGAATAAGATCTTGTTGAAATTGAGCATCGGAAGCACGTAAAGCATAATCTAGAGCTCCTGATGATATCATGGGTGGTAGAGTTTGATTATAATCATATGATCCAAATGGATATTGACCTCCATATTGCATTGAATCGTATGGAAAATAATTATTAGAATTATATTGTGGTGAATTAAAGTAATCAGTTGGGGAATGTTGATTTAAATATCCTTGATCATATGGATAATGCATTGGTAGACTTGATAAAACATCTGTTGGGATTTGTGCTTGAGAATAAAACAATGGTGAATTAACCGGTGATAACGGAACACCAATTGACGCTGCAGGTAGAGATGGAGCATCGACTGACTTTTGTTTTTTTGAATTCCTTAAATAAAATAAGTATTTTAATATTTAATTAAATATTTCAGATTTCATTTCAAATAACTTTTTCATTTTCAATGTTTCTCTATTTGATGGAGATAATTTCATATCAAGAATGAGAGCAAATAATGAAAAAAAACAAACTATTGTCATAATAAGACCAACAAGACCATTCCACCATGCCCAATCAAGAAAACCTGAGTAATTACTACGACCTTGAACAGACATCACACCCAATGTTGCTGATATAAATATAACTAAACACATTATATTATTTTTTAGTTTTTTTCTTCGTTTATTTATTAAAACTTACTGGAAATGAATAAAAGCATGGCAGCAGCAAGAAACATAGCTTTAAATGACAATCCACCAAGATTTATTATACCAAGTATAATAAGAAAAGCAGCAAATATATAAAATATCAAAGATATTATTTCTAATGCTTGACTACTTTGAATAAAACCTTTCAAAATAAATAAATAAATAAATAAAATATATTAACGAAATAAATCTCAACCTGGTTTTCCTGTAAATATATCATTTATATTTGAGTCATATGTATTAGCAGCCCATTGATTACAAACACCTGATTCACTTGTATAACAAACTGTCCAAAGACCAAAAGTAATTGAAACATTAGTATATGTTATCCATGGAGTTCCTCCAAATGAAACTAAATTAAGAACAAGATAAGATATTGTTGATATAATAATAACGAATAATAAAAGTCGTCCAAGACCAGTTCTTGGACATAAAACCATCTGTATTTATAATGTTTTACTGTCTCAATCGATCCGTATCGGTTTTTTTTGCTTTAATATGAATGCTACAGGTAAGAACGAAAATATTTTTATACTGACACATTCAATATCACGTTTTTCTTACTAATGCTATAAGGAAAAAAATTTCTTTTGTCTACTCAAACAAATTTTATTTTTATTCTTTTAAATAAACTAGTCTACCGACAAATCGAGAAAAAAAGACTAAATCAATATCAAACGGTGAATACACTTATGCACTTGGTGGCGCTAATTTATGAAATACTTCGATCACTTTTTCACAGGAAATACTTAATACTAAAATGTAGCTTGACATAAGACAAATCATCTCATAAAGTCAGATTTTCCGGCCTATTTTTTTTCGAGAAAATTATTAATTAATCAGGCCAAGGGTAAGTTGGACTCTAACAACCAATAGGAATAATAACAATAATAATACTTAGTTAGATTCTCTCGATAATTTTTCGGTTCTAATCACTTTTTAAAAAAAGTGAAAATACAGTTCGATAGAGAAATTTGTTCCCTTTCTAACAGTATCAATCAAAATCTCGGCTCTTATAATTTTTTAAGAGGTCGCCAGGCGTAGTGCATTTGATAATGATGCACTGAAAACAGTATGCTTCTTTCGCTCTGTTGGCAAACAAAAACAAACAGAATATTTCTATTAGAATAATTGAACAAATAAGAAAAAATTTAACTGAAAAATAGATCGACATCAACTATAATCAGAAGATGCGTTGCTTGTGTAAATTCGACTGTTGTTATGGTTGGCTTCCCCTTCGTCATGAATAAATATGAAGACGTCATTAATTTTGTTATTGTCTTTCATGTCATGTGTATTTTTTCTCGAAGGTTTTTATTTTCTTGATTAACAATAAAATGAACGGCTATCATTGATCGGAATGACTAGATCAACTTTTTTTTACATTCCAATGAATAAACGCGTTATTTTTAATTCTTTTTCTTAAAATAAAACAACAAACAATTCATATAAGTGAATTAACTTAAACAATGTCTATTAAAATATTTCTAATAATAAATAAATTTTTCTACTCACTAATGAAAACTCACTAAAACGAGTTTTATTTTAAATAAAATATTTAG